ATTGGAAGATCATCTGTTCCTGGTGATTCGTTTTTCGCTATTTCTCTTGCAGTTTCTACCTCGCTTTCTAGAATCTGGGGTTCATCTTCATATGGCTCCATTCCATCTGTCCTTCATTTTGTCATTTCTTTTGTATAATTCTTCTATGTATTGCATCAAACATCTTTTTTATTCCTTCCTGATCTTGGACCATATTATTTTTATTGTCCTAGAGTGTTCCGGTTCTTGGTTTCAATTTTCCTTTGATTTCTTTTGTTTTCCCCTTTTTGTTGTTGTCTTCTATTTCTCTGCACTGATCATTGTAGTAATTTTCTTTATCTTTCCGCACAAGCCATTGCATAATTCTTGCTTTGTTCCTATCTCCCTTTTGTTTTTATTCTCTTTTTTTATTGCTTGTAGTCTGTCATCCATGTTTTTTTCTCTTTCTTTTTGTTTATTGAAAGTGTCTCTCTGCATTCTTCTTTTATGTTCCTGGCTTCAGACCATAGTTCCTATTGCACTCAGTCTATTATGCTTAGCAGTGCAAATCCATTTCTTATGTAGTAAAAAATTCTGTTGAGATATTATTTAGATCATATTTTGGTATAATCACTGGTTTTGTTTTCTTTTTACTTTATTTTTGATATGAATAATTTGTGATCTGTGTCACAGTCGGCACCTGGTCTAGTCTTGGCCAGCAGTATAGAGTTCCGCCATCCTTTACTTCCGATGATATAATCTATTTGTTTTTTTGTGGTAATGTCCATGTATGTAGCCTTCTTTCTGGTTGTATGAAAAATGTGTTTGCAATTAATAGGTTTGCAATGAATCAGAACCACTAGCTGCCACTAATCACTGCCATCCTCATGATCCTGTCTGTCAACAGTTCTGAGGCATACTGCAATACTAATTACTGAGATTCTGAGTAATAACCAATATTCATCAAATATCAATCAGAGAGCTTTGTTTGATTGTTTGAGGCTCATCCACCATGTACCATGTCTGCTAAAGGAGAATGATATTATTATCCTGCTGACATTCTGAATCATGAAAAAGCATTAAGTTAAAATGCTAATTTTAATAAAAATTGATCTGAGACAAGTGACCCTGATGATGGTGCTTCTGAACTACATATTAAATTATAAACTAAAGGGGATGAAAGGTATGACAAAAAGTCTGGAAATAAACATGTATGTATAAATAAAATTAACAGGTTATGAGCTCAGCTGAAACTAGCGGGTCTATAAAGATAATGGTGATCACATGGTTCCATCCTGCATGAATCCTAGATTACGATAAGTGTATAATATTTTAATTAGCAAGCATAATCATTTTCCTGAGAGTACTGTGAAAACCTTCAGGCAGCCCCATGAAAGTTAATGGAAGGGACTTATATTTGAGTGTATTTGTAAAAATAACGCTTTGTATATGGGTGTATGTCAAATAAAGTCTGTTAAAGGTCAACCCTCTGCATCTCCTGAGACATTTTCCATGTACTATGCCCTGAGTTTCTAGGATGAATGGAAGTAAACCATGAAGATATAAATATGACAAACAGACCCATCCATCCATGATTTAGAGTTTGGAAACAAGCTATAGATTTCTGCTCGGAGGCATAGGATGTAAGTTAGCCCTCCGGCTGGTGGGTAAAGGGCAATCTAACCCTATTTGAATCAGTTCACCACCACAAGGATACGTGTGTGTGTGTGTGTGTGTGTGTGTATTCACACCTTTAAGTTGTCTGTCAATTTATGGCAATCCCATGAATTTCATAGGGCTTTCTTAGGCAAGGAAAATTCAGAGGTTGTTTTGCCCAGTTTCTTCTGACATATAACATACATCAACTCATACTTGTTGCCGATCTCCCATCCAAGTACTAACTAGGACTGACTCTGCTTAGCTTCCAAGATCTGACAAGGATATTTAGGCCTGACAAGGATACTTACTGATCTCATAAAAATACTCAAAGGATTTCACATTCTCATCTTATATGGTTGTAGCTGAGGTTGGCTCTTAATAAAGGGTACATAGTGAATCCAGGACCAAACTGCAATTGAACCCAGATTAGGAGCCAAATTGCTCTACATGTTAGCACAAAATGATTAATTGATTCATATGCTTTCAAATAGCAGAGATCAGAGCCCCTGGAACTGTTTTTAAGGTCAACATTGGCAGGTAGATAATTAATGTAACTACTTACAGGTATGCTTTAACAAAACAATGGAAACACTGAACACATAGAATCATAGAATCATAGAGTTGGAAGAGACCAC